GCCACTTCTGGCGAACCAGAGCAGTGCATGGAAACGCCGTTTACCTTCCCGCCGGAGCGGTACCTATTTATCTACTTGCACTTTTTTGGGCGTGCTTTCGAACTGCTAGGTGGGCAGGAGCTGGGACTGAGCAACGGGAGCTCACCCCGTCATGGGGATTCAAACCACCAATCTCCCTGTGGAACGCCCTCCCACCAGATGTCAAAGAGAACAACAACTACCAGACTTTTAGAAGACATCTGAAGGCAGCCCTGTTTAGGGAAGCTTTTAATGTTTGACGTATTACAGTATTTTAATATTTTTTTGGAAGCCGCCCAGAGTGACTATCTAATGTCCTGGTGACTATCTAATGTTTATTGGATGGATTTCCCCCAAATTGATTTTTGAACTTTGAATTTTATTGTTATTTTATACTGTATTTTATGCTGCTTCTATGTTGTATTACAATTAAGTGTTTTAAATTTGTTGTTAGCTGCCCTGAGCCCAGTTTTCTGAAGCGAGAAGGGCGGGGTATAAAAAAAAATGTATTTATTTATTAGAAGGTGTTTGGGCTGGATCCTGCCCCCGGGCCTTAGTTTGCCTACCCGTGCCCTAGGTTGTAATATTATTATTGTGGGAGTGGGGCATGGACTTCTCTCTGTTTGTTTTTCTCAACACCATGAATAATTTCGTACACTTCTATAATCTCCCCCTTTTTTTCTTATCTAACCTGCCTGAATTGATATTATCTCAGTTTTGCCTTTCCACTCCGTATCAGTCCCAGCACCCAATGGATTTATGGTATTGGATAAAGCACAATACATGTCTCTCTTCTTATTTTCCTTTCGTACTCAAATTTCCAGATGGTGGCAGTAGCACACCGCAGAAGAAAGGTGCTCGAAATTATTACATCTAAGAAAAATATCAAAGGAGAAGTGAGAAGCCATTTCGCATCCATGCACTTCACTTTCTGAGAATCATCCAGAGAGTTTTGCAGTGAGGTGGCTGGTTTAGCTCCTGATGCAAGAACTTTCTGAAGCAACAAGAGTCCTTTCTTAGTGCAGTACTGCACTTAACAGGATTTGGGGGCTGTACATACCAGCACCCTGGGATTTGGAAAAGTTGGGGCCAGCCATTAGGCAGATGGAGGCAGCAACTTCCCCTGCAATGTTGTTTGCTTGTTGCTAGCCTGGGCTGTCCTTCTGTTTTGCCTTGTTGCCTGCTCCCAACAAGTCACAGAGAACACTACAGGAGAAAGCCCTGTAGTGAGCAAGCAGGCAGAGAGGCAGACAGCCCAGATTGCACACTCCAGCAGCCATGACACAGGCTGCCACCGCCACTGTTCCACATCAGCACTTGTCTGGCCAGGCAGTGCTCAGGGTACCAGGTGGAGCAGAGAATAAAGGGTAGCAGGCATTGGAAGAAGCAGGGGATTTGAATCAGTTCACCGACCTAGCTGTTTTGCGCTTTCCAATATGTCAAGCAAAATGCAGTCATCCTTTGAAATTTGCACTTCTCTGGATTTTGCAGTGCAGCCCTTCAGCCAAGTAAAAGGTAAAGGGACGCCTGACCATTAGGTCCAGTCGTGGCCGACTCTGGGGTTGCAGCGCTTATCTCGCTTTATTGGCTGAGGGAGCCAGCATACAGCTTCCGGAGCAGGGACCGAGCAACGGGACCTCACCCCGTCATGGGGATTCAAACCGCTGACCTTCTGATCGGCAAGTCCTAGGCTCTGTGGTTTAACCCACAGTGCCACCCGCGTCTTCCTTGAGTACCACAGGCTAAAGTCTTCTTCACCTCTCCTGCATGGGAGGCACCAGTAGCCTCAGATGATGTCAAGTCATATTGCGAGTGTTCTTGACCTAAAGTTACATGGGGTGCCAAGCCCTCACTAATTTAAATCAGTAGTAAACAATATGGGGTCTTCAAGATGTTGACGGACTACAAATCCTATGATCCCTGCCTATTGGCTGTGCTGATGTAAGTTGGAGTCCAGCTTCATCGGGGGGGGGGGGGGGGACAGGGACACACACCACATTGCCTCCCCATAATTCAAATAGTCTCAGAGCCTGTGTATAGGGAAGCTGCCCTTTGGTATTCTCCAGAGATCAGATTGAATATGAAGAAAGGGAAACGGTTCCATGTAAGAAGGGAAAGGAGAGAAGGTGTTCTCCATAGCGCTCAGTGTTTGGGAAGGTTCTGTCAAGGCCAGTTCAAGAGTTCCACATAAGTCTAGCCGATTGGCAGCTCAAGAACCAGACACAGCTCAATTTTCACCTCTGGTGATCCTGTGACTTCTTAATCAAGGCGTGGTTTTTTAAAAAAAGCTTGTTCAGTTTCACTCATGAGGGGGGGAAACTGTTCTCATCAGTTGCAGAAGCCAGAAATATTTCATGCATGAATGTTGACACCAGTCTCTGGAGTTTGTACATAATGTCCCACCTGGAGTTGTTCTCTCAGGATTTTGGAATTGCAAATTAAGTGGAACTAATTCAGCGGGAATCCTTTGCTGCTGTTGCTTTTGTTGTTATGTTTGTTTGGTTTTTTACAGGGCATGGGCAGTTTGATGCAGCTTTCAACTCCTTTAATTCATTCATGTCTTTCTCACTGGTGTACCTCACCTGAGGTCAGGAGATAAATAAGGTTCAAAGGAGCAGGAGTAGGGAAACTTTTTCAGCCTAAAGGCTCCATACCCTCTGCCCAGAGTTCCTCACTTCTGTACCAGAAGGTTAGTGTAGAAGAGACACATTTTTCCAACTAAGGCTGAACCCAGCAGTTCAGGGAGGTGGGGGGACCTTGCCTTGTGGTTAAGGCAGGCTCCTTGCTGCTCCCTGTTCTCTCTTGCTTGGAATTTCTGAGCCATGTTGTCACTGGGAAAGGTTGCACTTTCCATGCCAAGGTGACAGGCCCTGGCTGGTAGCTGCTCACCTTTGTGTGTGTGTTTGCATTTTTTTCCTCCAAGGACTTGCCTTGGCTGGTTTTGTAAGATGTGCTGACTTCAGCTGCCCTAGGAAGATGCGAGAAAGCAATTCTGAAGAGTGTTACTATAGGTTACCATAGGAAATATTTGCAAAAGTTTCTTAGTTTGTGTGCTGAAAGAAAATGAACAAATGGGCTTTAAAGGGAAAACCCAAGAAAGGACAGAAAACATTGGTGCTGGGAGTGTGAAATATGCTTCACTGAGGCCAGCGCGTCTTCCAACAATTCTTAGTGTTGACTTTCAATCACAATCTGCAACACAGGCCCCACTTAAAGTAAACTTCCAGCTTCCTGCTTTCTCTCTCATTTATTCTTTTGCCATCTATTCACCTTCCTTGAAAAAAAAGAAAAGAAAAGAAAAGAAGAAAAGAGAAGAAAAGAAAAGAAAAGAGAAGAAAAGAAAAGAGAAAAGAAAAACAGTAAATGTGGTGATCTCCCTGGTGCGATGCAATTTTAATTCAAGAGTAGGACCCAGCTGTACATCGTGGCCCACCAGCTGAAAAACTAATGATTTATAACAGGCATTTTGTGTGTGCAAAAGTGCATGTGAAATCTTTGGGTGTGACACTGTATAGTGTGCTGGGCATATGTGTGTGTGTTGTTGTCATTGCTGTTGAAGAATATAGGAAGCCAGGGTGGGACATAATATTGAAGAGTAAATGAGTATTTCTTCATTATTTATTTATTTATTTATTTAAATCATTTCTATGCTAACATTGAACTTAAAGTTACCAAGGTAGTGTACTTTAAGACAATCCACTGAAACATACCCAACAGCATTAAGAGTATCCAAATTTATATCTCTCTATCTAAGGAACAATAAAAACTGGTATAGAACTGGTACAGTACAATATAATACATTGCAAACAAAGAGCCTTCAGCAATGTAGAGTTGCAGAGGAGATCCTTGGGGTGAGGATAGGGATGTTACACGTCCACAGCAATGCCCTTATTTTTATGTTGCAGAAATGCAAAATGGCAAACTCAGTTCATATCCATTCACTTGAAATTTCGGCCCATTTTCAAGGTAATTCTGAATTGGTGCCTGGTTGTGGCAATACATTTAAAGCGTCTGGATTCCAGCAAGGAATCATGGGAACCGTAGTTTGTTAATGGTGCTGTGAATTGCAGTTGCGTGAGGAGTAAATTCCAGTTCCCATGATTCCTTGGGGGAAGCCATGGCTGTTAAAAGTGTTTGGGTGTATAGTTTGGTTGTGATCGTACCTACTTACCTAGGTAGAGTCTGTACAATAGGGTGAAAGGGGCATTTTGGATTTATCCAATCTGAATAGATTAATGGTCCCACTTGTGGATAGAGTCCTGTTTTTTCTTGAAAGCCCCAAAGAGACTTTGGCCTGTGTACATAAAGTAGGGGACGGGTGGAGTGGAGTACAGAAGCAGGCTGGAGCCGCCACTGCCCCCTCATTTTTATAACTCCTCATCCCAAGACACTGTGGATGCTGCGAGCACAAAGGAGACGCATCGGGCGGTGCCTTTTTCAGGGAACAATGCTGACATCAGAAAGGCCCCAGGCCAGGGCAGATCTGTCAGCCTCAACCAAGGGCAAGTTTCTCTTCCCAGTGAGGTGGAAAAAATTAGCCAAAGAACTGTTTCATACTGGAGGAGAACCCTATAGACTTTAACAATGGAATCCAACACTGGATTCTGCCACATGTCTTTCTTGGCTTTGCTACCCTGGTGCCTAGATGGGCAAGTTCAAGCTTGTGCCTTTCAGTCCTTCCCCATATTGCATATAGCATTGCATATGGCCCCAAGCATTATGGGTAATTAGAATGCTTGCCCACAAGAATGCTGTCACTGCCAACATCCACCTCTTCTTCAGATGTGCCCACCCACTTTAACCCGATATCCAGCAAGGATAAATAAGAGGGAAGAGACTTTCCATGGATGAGGAGACAGTCATCTCCCATTCTAAGCGCCTTGGAGCTGGCCCTGAGGAAAGCCCTTCCCATTTGTGGTGTTCCTGATAAAATGTCCCTCCAAGCTCAGAGGTGGCCACCAGCTCAACCATGAAACAAAACGGAAGAGTTGTGGCTCGGTGGTAAAGCACATGTTCTACATATAGAAGATCTCAGGTTCAATCCCTGGCATCTTCTGTCGGAAAACCTGGAGAGCCTTTGCCAGCCAGCATTTAGACAATATTGTAAGATGAACCAATGGTTTGACTTGCAGTTTCCTATACTGAAGTAGTCCTATATTGAAGAGTGCCTCCTGGCGTGCTCTGGTCCATGAGGTCACAAAGAGTCGGACACGACTAAACAACAACAACATATTGAAGTGAAGCAACTGCCTCAGCTGACAAATTTGGGACGCTGTGAATGGTGGCATTGTGGCAGATGGGCAGATTTAAGCCATGGGACACAATCCATGAGGATGTTCCCCTGTTCTAACCTCAGTGAAAAGGAGCTGTTGTTTTGGGGTTTGCAGTGAACGGAGTGGTGCTTTTATGTAGATCCTGACTTCCAAAGGAAGACTACCCAGTTTATCTAGGAAGGTGTTCCACCTAGATATCCTACCTCATTTGATTTCTCATACAAAGAGAAACATGATGGGGCACTAGGAATGTTGGAATTTGTGGTGCTCATGGGCATAAGCTGTTGCAAAGGCCAGCTGCACAATCAAGTCAGTCTAAGGAGCTGCACAGTTGCCGTGAAAGCACCACAAACTGTGGTGTGTACCCTGTCCTGGTACACCCATGTTCTGCTAGGACTGTTGTGCAGATAGGACTTGTAGTGATTGCAGTAAGTTGTGGACATTTCCTTACAAAGAAACATTGGGGTGGGAGTCTGGAGATGATCCCTGGGGAATGGTGTGAGGCGGGTGGAGTCTGGCTTGCTAATAGAGCTCCAACAGAAAACTAGTGTTTGTTGTAAATCCTACTTAATAAAACCATCACTTCATCTATTGTCTCAATATATTGAACCCCAACTTATTACAGGACTTGTGTGCTCACACACTGCCAAATGTCAGCCCTGGCTAGCCAGCTACCTTGTGGTTTGAATTTGGAGAAGGAATCTATTGGAACAGCATAGTATGCTTCCTGTTTCTAGAACAGTCAGCCCCTTGGCTTGTTTCCATTGAAACATGTGCCTCCAGCTCGATACAAAGGGCAAATGATGTCACATGAGGCCTCATCATGTACTTGGTAATGTGGTTCATGGTCCAAGAAAGTTTAGGGGGGAACATACCTAGGGAACTAGGGCAGAAATGGGGAACGTGTGAATGTTGCTGGACTACAACTCCAATCACCCGCCTATTGGGCATATTGGCTGGGGCTTATGGAAGTTGGAGTCCAACACCATCTGGTGGACCACAGGTTCCCTGGACTAGAAAAAAGCCCAGCAATCCCCAATTGGCCTTGAGGGCAGTTGGTTGCCTCAACCATCCTCTGCCTTGGTTCCCCCCCCCCCATCTCTTAAAAGAAAAAGGGAAAAAGCAAGCTGATAATTACATGCCACACAGTGGGTGGTGTGAGGCTTAATTACCTTAAATGCATGGTAGGTGCAAATAGTCTTTAACCCAAATGACCGCGAATGTCAATAGCTAAGCACTTAATGAAACTCCCTGTGCCTTTCATCTGAGTTCCCCCCAAAGGGCTTTGCAACCATCCTGGGGTCAATCTGCCAAACTGCACTCCCTGTGGGAGATGAGGGCTGAGTCACAACTCTGTCATCAGTGGCAAGAGGCACTCGGAGATGATTGCTGGTGTTTTAAAACCTTGCTATACCTTGGCAAAAGTGCATACTTGAGAAGGACTACACCCATGGCTAGGGTGGAATCGGATTGTAGCAACACCACAGGACAGTTCTGAGGAAGCAAGCTGGTCATCTCTTAAACCATGGTTCCCACTGAAGAAAGAGAGAAGTAAGACTATCTGGGGAGATGTGCTGCTGTTCTAGGAACATAGGAAACCACCTTATACCAAATCAGACTGTGGGCCCATTTGGCTGAGTACAGTCTACACCGACTGGCCATGGCTCTCCAGGATTTTTTCAAAGTTGCCTTTTGTGAAAGCCACTTGCTGATTAGGGTGCAGTAATTGCACGAGAGGGAAAGATTACAGCTTGGTCCAAAAGCTTTCTGCTCCACACCCATGATAATTAAATTCCACTGGGCTCAGTGCTTGTTCTGGACTCAGCAGAGGCCCTGTATGTTATCCTCCTACTCCCCAGGTCAGCCACCATTTCTCAGGAGGCTGCCTATACGAATGGAGTCATGGGTGGAAGGTCTTCTTGTTTGCTATTGTTGAATGAGATGTTTATATCCCACTTTTCCTCCAAGGAGCTACATACGTTTAGGTGGAATCTTCTTTCTTGGATCCAAACTACAAGAAAGAAGATTCCACCTAAACATTAGGAAGAACTTCCTGACAGTAAGAGCTGTTCGACATTGGAATTTGCTGCCAAGGAGTGTGGTGGAGTCTCCTTCTTTGGAGGTCTTTAAGCAGAAGCTTGACAACCATATGTCAGGAGTGCTCTGATGGTGTTTCCTGCTTGGCAGGGGGTTGGACTCGATGGCCCTTGTGGTCTCTTCCAACTCTATGATTCTATGATTCTACATACATACATACATACATACATACAACAGACAGTAAGTACTCTCCACATTTTATCCTCACAACAACCCTGTGAGGTGGTCTGTGTTGAAGGAAGGAGAGAGTCACTGGCCTAAGCTGTCTCCATGAGGGAGCATGAACCTGGATCTCCCCACTCCTCGTCTGACATGCTAGCCATGTCACCAAACTGGTTCTTTGTTGCCACAGATGCTCCTCCTCTCACTCCCTTCACACACCTCTCACATCTCAGGGTTGGCCACAGGAAGCACCTTCAACAGGCTTGATTTGGCTCAGATTTACTGCCTGTCCCCCTTCCCACCAAAGTTCTGCATCTACTGCACCACCGTTTTCCAGCCTTGGACCCCCGCCAAGGATGTTGAAAGACAAGCTTCCCTTCCCTGGCCCAGAGGGCATTAGGAGCATAACAAATGGTGGTGGCTAGAGAGCAGCTGAGGTCTGGTGTACTGGACAGCATGCTGCACTTGGACAGGGGAAACCTCAGTTCAGATCCTCTCTCAGCCATGAAATGCAATGAGTGATCTTGCGCCAGTCAACATATCAAACGCACAAAACAGGGTTGCTGTGAAGATCAAAGGGGACAACTCCACCTATATTTATATTGCCCCAAGGAAGGGATGTGATAATGAATAAAATAATGCACTTGGATCTTGACCAGGTTTGGATATGAGAATCTATGCCATCTGATTTTGGATTTTTCCAGCCTTAGGAAATGAACCAACATGTCCCCCACCAACGCCTCTCCCACTGGGAAATGTTGGTTGTATTTTCTATCTCCTTTCTCCTCCAGTTTATACTGACCATACAGGCAGCTTTCCTGGCTTCCATCAATGTGTTGAGGGGTCTCTGGGCATGGCTGATATTCCCCCTGAACAAAGTTTTGGCCAAGGTGGCATTTTTAGTTCTTTGAACTTCTAGGATTTGGCAGCAGCCAGGAGAGAGTATGGAGAGAGAGTGGCGTATCCCTTCCCTGGACCTTTGCCCCAACCTTGCACAGTGCATTCAAGAAAGCAGAGTTTGTCTAACACTTTTTGCCATTTTGGTACATGTTACTTGGCTGAAGGGACGTGGGTGGCGCTGTGGGTTAAGCTGATCAGAAGGTCGGCGGTTTGAATCCCCGCGACGGGGTGAGCTCCCGTTGCTCGGTCCCTGCTCCTGCCAACCTAGGAGTTCAAAAGCACGTCAAAGTGCAAGTAGATAAATAGGTACCGCTCCGGCGGGAAGGTAAACGGCATTTCTGTGCACTGCTCTGGTTCGCCAGAAGCGGCTTAGTCATGCTGGCAACATGACCCGGAAGCTGTACACCGGCTCCCTTGGCCAATAAAGCGAGATGAGCGCTGCAACCCCAGCGTCGGTCACGACTGGACCTAATGGTCAGGGGTCCCATTACCTTTACCTTTACCTTTACTCAAGGAAGACAGAGCGTCAACACTGGGAATGGAATCCTGCATTGTGGGGAATGCACTCAGGGAGAAAGAGTAGAGTTAGGGTGTTTCCATCTGTGAGCCAAAGCAAATGACACCCTTTTTTTCTTTTCATTTATGAGGAGAACACTGAAGGTCTGCCTTGGCCTTTTGATGTGTCATGCGCAAGTTTTTCCCTCCGGGAATGGAGGGTGAACCTGTCATAGCTTGAACTCAGCCACTGTTTTCCCAGCAGGATTTTTCAGCAGCTGTGTAGCTACCCTCACCCCAAGTTTATGCAATGTAGCATGGTCACCACTCTGCTGCTATTTTTTATTTATTTATAAAAAATGACTGGAAATTAAAAATAATTAAAAGTTTGCCCTTCCCTAAATGGCTAGTCAAAAGCCAATGATTGGCACACAAATGTTTGTTGCGTGACTGCAACATGAAGTGATAAGACTTGTCTGGAAGAGCCTCCACATCACCACCTCAGTTCACTTGAAACGTGACTCTTTCCCCTCAAAGCAGTTCACATTAACACAAATTGACCTCCGAGGCATTGAGTAGTAAGGCCTAGTCTACCCGAGCAGCAGAATGCTGTGGAAGAGTCCTAAGGTGGCAGAGGTTGCCAGTGTCCATTCCTGTATTGCTCTCCCATGTGTGGTGGAGTGGTTAAGAGTGGTAGACTCATAATCTGGTGAACTGGGTTCGCGTCTCCGCTCCTCCACATGCAGCTGTTGGGTGACCTTGGGCCAGTCACGCTTCTCTGAAGTCTCTCAGCCTCACTCAACTCACAGAGTGTTTGTTGTGCGGGAGGAAGGGAAAGGAGATTGTTAACCGCTTTGAGACTCCTTAGGGTAGTGATAAAGCAGGGTATCAAATCCGAACTCCTCCTCCTCTTCTTCTTCCAAGTTGGCTTGTTGGGAGTTGGGGAGCTTACCACTTTGAGGAGAGTGTCTATTCGTGCCCATTCTTTTCTGTGTTAATTTTCTGACTGCGGAACATTTTCACCTAGGGAATTGTGCTAAGATGTGATGCCTTTCCTGCTGTCTGGAATGATACAGTCCATTCTGCCTTCCCTGAACATAATTACCACTTCATTATGCTGCATGCATAG